AATACAGCTTCCTTCCCCACCTGATGGAGCAGGCTGTTTTTTAATTTAGTGGTAAGAAGGGTCAGTGATCATTTTTCTTCCTTAGAGGCAGAATACATGAAACCTAAGCATTTTGTAGTGAAAATACAAATTTATTAAAACAGGCTTTGCATGCGCACATGTAAGTGCTAATCTGATAATTGGAACCGTCAACCCGAAGCAGCAACATTGTAGAAAGAATTCGCAGTTGTATAGAGAAATGGAACAAATGACTTACCTAGAAAAATAACTGCCAGAATCAAAAGGCTACTTTTAAATAATTTTCCTGTTGTGTATTTCCTATTTTTTAAAGAAATTCTATTTTAAATTTTACAGTGATGGCACCAAAATCATAGAGTTTAATAATGGCCAAAGAGAACTCCATACTGCCCAGTTCAAGAGGCGGGAATATCCAGACGGCACTGTTAAAACTGTGTATGCAAACGGCCATCAAGAAACCAAGTATACATCCGGTCGAGTAAGAGTTAAGGACAAGGACGGTAACATTCTAATGGACACAGAAGTGTAACGACCCTTGTGTGAGTAATCGTGAAGTAACACTAACTGATTTTCTTGCTAAAAAGTGTACATTTCTTGCAGATTCTGTTTAATGTATAGAGTGTGTGTGTGTACAAGTGGAAGAGACTGGATTCTAAAATGAAGGTCTGCCCTGTAGCATCTTCATTTTTATATTCTCTGAAACACAATAAGGACAGCTTTCGTTTATAAAGCCACCTGCCCTGTCTTTCTACAGCTAGACTAAGGAAAGCATTATCGTTATAAACTGTGCACAGGTCTTTGGAGATAGTTATAAAGCCCAACAAGGGCCAGGCGTGGTGGCTCACGCCCGTGGTGAGCTATGATGACACCACTGCGCTCTAGCGACAGCGTGAGACTCTTTCAAACTACGTGTCCCCACAGGGACATCAGCCGTGGGAGGACCTGCACAGAAAGTGTACTTAGGCAGTACAGGAAGGTCTCCAGCCAAAATTAAAGCATTTGATCTTACTGTAGAGGTTTGCTAACTGCAACACTGAAAGAATACAAATAGGGCATACAGTACCGTCATCATAGGTAACCACGGTGAAGAGAAAGCAATTATAACAAGGCTGATTTATAACTTGTCAAAAATGGTGTCCTTGAGGGAGGGGCGAGTCACCTATTTATAAATGTGTATAATAATTACAGATAGGTGAGACAAAAAAACCCAAAATGTATCAATTCCAGGTGATTGAGACAATATGAAAAACTTTTCAAGAATAAGGACTTAAATATATAACCTCAGGAGAGGGGAAGGATTTTTAAATGACACACAAAAAGCACAAACTTTAAGGGAAAAGGATGATAAATGAGTAAAAAGTTTTTATCAAAAGATACAAAACAGGGAAAAGACATGTCACACATATACCTGACAAAGGATTACTAACCAGAATATATAAAGAATTTGTACAAATCAGTAAGAAAATTGCAAACAACTTACTAGATAGACAGACAAAGGCTATGAACAAGCACTAAACAAAGCACAGAACCCTCACTAGTAAGCCAGAGAGTGCGCGGTAAACAATGAGATGCCTTTTCTTACTAGTATGTCACAGTCTGGCCACAGCAAGTGCAGGCAAGGAACTCGGACAGCTGACGGCGAGGTCCATCAGCAAAACTATCACACTTTTCAGACAGCAACTACCGCAGGACCTGGCAAATTCCACTACTGTGTGTATGTGCTAGAAAACCTCTCACTTGTATACAAGGGTCTTACAGAAGAATATCTGTAATTGAGAAAAAACTAGTAAACTCTGAATATCCAACAGTAGATTAGGCACATGGATAGAGCAGTGAAAATAAGATAGAGCTACACATACCCACGTGGGTGAATGGTGCAAATGAAATAGAAAAGACAGTTGTGTGACACCACACACGTTAACAAACACAGAGCGACCCTGTCTCTCGTTATGGGCGCGTTCATCCACGGTGACATCATGAAGACCTGTATGAGAATGATAAACACCAAACCGCAACAGGATCATTTCACCTCTATATGAGAAGGGGGCAGAACGGGATTGGGAAGGAGCCTGCAATTGCACTGATGATATGACAGTTAGTTCTTAAGCTGAATCATTAGTTATAAAAGGACCTAAAATTTTTTCATGTGTCTATAAACTTTCATTTTGAAACTATGATAAAACAAGCAAATATTTGAAAGTAAATATTTATTAATTTTTCTGATGTCATCCACACAATTCCTAGCAGTTCAACATGTAAGAAATAAGGCGGGAAAAGCACTATTGCAGAACAAGTCAAAGAAAACTAAGCACAAAATGGTCTAAATATAACAAAACTTCCTTCTGGGCTGCTGCGGATGCTCTGCACTGTGTACCTGAAAAACAAAACGTGTTACTGTAACCTCTGCTAAACGTTCATGTTCAGATCTAGCTGTCGAGTCACTTGTGGAGTTAACTGGTCGCCCAAGTACTTTAATAATTTGTTATGAGGACACGGGTTGTTCAGGGGTTCGAGGTGCACGCCCCACGCTCGTGTGTGAACTATGGTGCCATCTGGTTCTGAGTGCTGACGCCATTCCAAGCATTAGACATGTGGGACCTCTTTGACCCCGGTGCGTGACAGGTGAGAGGGGCCCACGAGGAAGAAATCTGGAGGAGAGATTCTTGCTGAGCTTTGTCATCATTCCTTTGAGGAATCAAGGAAAACCCGAGGGTGCTTTGAGGAGCAATTTACCGTTAATTTCTACCATTAATTTCTCTCCTCGTTCTGAGGAGAACGAGCACTTACATCACTCGTCCACGTCTGCGAGCCCCACCTCCACTAACGACATGTGAACCGGGTACTGTTCATCTTCATATAATGTCACTGTTTGTTCTGGTGCCTGAGCCTAAAATTAAAAGATACAGTTGTAAAGAAAACACAGTAATGTCTTCGCTGCTGCCTTTTCCCTCCTGCATCTGGCCACTCACGCAGAAGGGAAAAGGCATTCTCTAGATTTATAATTTACACTCTGTACTTCCAAAAGGCATCTGTGATGGTTTCCCGCCAAATTCCATTCCTTCCATTCTTAGATTCCTCCCCACAAGGTTCTCCTAGATGGAGCCGATGGGCTTTAACACCACCATCCCATTAAAGTTCATTTGCGTCCCACACAAAGCATTATATCTTTACGCACAGACTGTGATGGCTAATTGTAGGTGTCCACTGGATTGAGGGACAGCCCAGGTGGCTGCTGAAGCACTGCTCCTGGGGGTGTCTGTCGGGGTGTTTCCAGAAGACACTGATGTTGAGTCCCTGGACCAGGAGGGGAAGACCCACCCTCAATGCGGCAGGCGCCGCACAGGCTGGGGGCCTGGCTGGGACACGGGCGGGAGGAGGGGGATTCTCTAGACCCTCTTCCTCCCAGAGTTGGACGTCTTTTTCCCCCCGCCCCTGGAAAACAAAACCCAAGGTCCTCAACCTTTGGAACCCAAGAACTGAAACCGTGGCCTCCCAGGGGGCCCTCAGGCCTCGGACTAGGGGCAGCACGTTGCGTCCTTGGTTCTGAAGCGTCTGGGCTGAGGCATCTCCAGCTTGCAGATGGCCTGTCATGGGACTTTGCCTCCGTGATCAGGTGAGCCAGTTCCCCTAATAAATCCTCTCATAGAGCCTACTGCTTCTGATTCTCTGGAAAACCCCAACACGCTGACCGCATTTTGAATGTTACAGAGGTGGAAAAATACGTATCTGTAAGAAATACTTGCCCTGACCACATTCTGTTCTTGAGAAAAGCCCCGCATGAACTATTCACGTCACTCTGCACACGCAATACGTGATACGTACAGGGGTTTTCACACGCACTTTCTAGTAATAGCATTATCTCATTTTGAGCTCATTTTTGTCACAGCCACTATGTCAGGAATCCCAAAATCATGGGCCCAGGCGGGTAACTGCGAAGGAGGGAAGCGGGAAGGGTTGAACGCCGGTGCTGAGGCCTAGGCTGGGGTGCAGGCGTGCTCCCCCTCTGAAGGGCTGTTGCTGCCCGCCTCAGCTGACGGCCATTTTTCCAGGGGCAGATCCAGGATTCCTAGATTTTATACTTAATCAGAAGCCAGAAATACAGACTTTTTGGGTCAAATTTCCAATTTTACAACACTATACGCTAAATAAAACAGGACATAGGCCAGATTCTGCATGGGGGCTACTCCTTTGTGGCATCCTACACCTCAGAAGAAAGCATATTGACATTAAAACAGTCTGCAGTTGCTGATTTGACTTTTTTTAAATTCCCCTTGCAGAACTCGGTCTACTTATTTGATCGTTTGATATGGGTTCTGCTACATTAAACAATTCTAAATTAGTATGAGTATGTGATTAGTGCAATTAGTATGATTCAAGCCTTTCTATGACCAGAACTCCCTGTTCTTTCCCGCTCTTCTTTCAGGATGCGGCTTAGATGCCACCAGGGCCTGAGTGCCCACTGGGGAGCAGCTCCAACACCCTTCCCCAACTCCCTTCCCGCACTCTTTGCCCTCCCCCGATCCTGAAAGTTACCTACGTCTCTGGTGTGGTACTTAGTTCATTCAATAATTACATCAATGATATTTTATATCACCGTGGGGTAATAAAAAAGTTTGTTCAATATAAACTAAGACAGCATTTAACAAGACTTAAAATTAATCCTATAGTATATACAGCTTTATATGCTTTGCTTTATTACATTTTTGCAGGTAGAGCTGCATAGAAACAAAGCACTTTACAAACTTAATAGGGAC